CGGATCGAAGCTAGATTAAAGATATCCGCACACAACGTATACGGAAGGATATTCTTAGTGATGAAGGTTTTTCGATTAATCTGAAATCCATATTATGGACAGCTGATAAGCAACTGCTCTGCTGAGACTTAAGAGATTTAAGATCAGCGCAAGATCCGCAGAAGTTCGTGAGTTTAGATATCCATAGGATCTGCAGCAGTGAGAGCACAAAATTTATGGCGCCTCCATAGGACAGGGATATCCAAGAGATTTTGGGACGTAGAAATCCTTAATCCCGAATCTCCTAAAAAAAGTATCCAAAATATTGGGTATGGAGGAGATTTTACATTTGGGACATCCAGAAAATCTTTAAGCGTCGATCGCGATTTGATATATCTATGGGCTCGAATAAATCATAAACTTGAATGAATGATCAAAAAAAGTTTGAACAAGTAATTTAATACGGTTTCAGAAACTGAAATCCATGTACACCAACAATTATATTGCCAAAACCATCAACTTTAACCAGATTTCCATACTTTTGATCAAACCATAACCCTGGAGAAAACATAACATTCACAAATCTTTCTACAACCTCAGGAAATCTGAATTCTTCAAAAGGTGACTGATCAAACATCTTTAACGTCAAGACAGAGTCCGCTCTCGAGCTGTCCAGCACTATGATAGCAGTCTAGATTATATCCTCTGTTACGGATAGATTATCTCGAATCGCATACATTCTCGCCACTTATTTCCGATTCACCCTGCCTGACCTCATTATTACATTCCCCCCAATACTCCTTGCCCAACCCTGTCCCCTCTCACCTCATTCCACTCTCTCCCCCGTCTGCCACCTCCATTGCCCCGAATTAAAGGTCAGAACAAATTGAAAATAGCAGATATAGTGATCAAGATGAAGAAGGTGAACCTCTGATGGGGAATTTAGGATCGTAATTGCAGCTGCGCAACTCTTCGGGATAGCCTTTCAAAATCATACGTTCGAGAATTCTCGAAAAAAGTAACGCTTCAAAATCGGGTGACTTGTACACTGAAATGTTTCATGACTGTTACAATTGATGTGTTCTCTTCTTATCAGTTTATATCAATCATTGATAAGAAATAGAATCTCATAGGGTGGCATATCGAAGTATTTGAGAAAGCACCGAGTTTTGGATTACTTTCCACACCTGGCATATGTTTTCCACAGAATAGTGATACATTTCGCGAAAGAAAGTAAGTTGTAGGAAGACTGTTTGAGCTAATGTGATGACATCGGACCGAAATTTCAGTTTACACAGCATCCAACTGAATTGACTTTTTAACATCCCGGAATCCGGCATTCCGATTAAACTTCGAAATTTTTCAGTCGGTATCCTACTGAACTTTACATTTTTAGATTCCGGATCTCGGGATTCCTATCAAATTTCGGTCAGCATCACCACCATTTTAAGCTGAACCTGCGTAAGTGATTGGTCAGGGATGGAAATAGATTACCAGAACAGGGACTGATCGAACAAAAGCTGCAAATCTCAAGCTTCAGATAAGTTCAAAGCTTCAGATGAGAGCTCCATGCTTCGTGCCTAAGTTAACGACACGTTAATCTGCTTACTTGCCAGTGTATAATCCATATCAAAACCATAGAATCGTATGCGTTCCAGACATACCGAACGATTGACAAATACCCTAGAAATGGATCCAGAATCAGAATCAGCGTTGAATTGCATGCACTTTTCACGAATAGATCGNGGATTTCTTGAGGTATTGCTGAGTTTAGGAAAGGTTTTTCGGATCTGGCTCGAGTATATGCCAACGCTGAGGTGAAGTTGAACGAGTAAGGCTTTTAAGCAGATTTATAAGGTACAAGATATTCGACAAAACCGGAAAACGCTTACAAATATTCGGTAAACAAGAAAAATATTTTGGAATATTCCCTGAGAATTTGCGAGAAATCGCAGTAAGAGAGTGCTGAAAAGAAACGAAAAAAGGAGCCGAAAACGAACTGCTGAAAAGGATCACGTTCATTCGGCTCTCTCGCTGATATTTCAATAGGACTTAGATCCTCTGAACTCTGTTTTATCCGTACCATTCTTGAGGCGGGTGATTGCACTCTTTTGTTGGCTCAATATTCAGGGAATTGCAAAATCTGAAATGCAAACTAGAAATATTTAAGAATCCGTCGATAGATAGATCTGTTGGTTGGTTGTTTTAAGGAATTATTCCAGGAATCTCATTGAAATTGCCCAAAAATTTTGAAATTTTTGGGCAATTTCTGATCAGATAGCTTCGTTTCGATAGATTTCGTTTATTGCTCAAGTAAAGACATTCGCATGTGCATTATAAGGAGATCCATGCAAAACTGATAGATAAACTCACCGAAGCAATTGATGAAATATGACCAGTTAAGTGCGATCGAAATGAACGTTAACTATGAAGAACAACGGTCAGCCGTCTGCAGCTGACCGTTCAATGGACTCAATCGATTAAACAATAGATCAAATATTGTTTGGAGAAGTTGAAAGGTTGGAAAAATTACGAAAGAAACTGCAATTTGCTTATATGGAAACACGAACATGAACAAAAGCATTTACGAACTCGTAGCTGTCAGTGTAACGCGTAACTCATTCGTAACTGACATCAGTGTTTAATGCGGATCAAGATGGTTCATATCACGATTATAAAGTTTCCTTGTCGTGTCGGTAACAATTCAAATTATTTCTTAAAT